CCTGGCTCAACAGAGGAGCCATTGAATTCTGACTCCCAACCCGCCCTTCCCCATAAGCACCCACTTGACTGACCGTGCGGTCCGAATTATCCCGTCAGTCGATAACATTCCAAGCCACAGCTTTCAACCCATCTTGATAGCTTCAGGCGCGGCGCATTGTTTATAGTGAGCCCTTGACCTTACTCTCTTTCCCACCTCCAGCGTCAATCTACCGGCCGAGCCGGCTAGTGAACTGTGCGGGGATTGGACGCAGTTAATGACCTCGTCTGCGCGTACTACGCACACGATTTGGCACCAGGATTGAACACAAGAGGTAACTGAATGACTCTCAATCCACCAGTCGGTCACTCCGCACAAACACACCTTGAACTGACTGTGAAGTTTGAGTATGGTTGCCGGTTGGTAAGCCTAGTGAACTGTAATAGTCTCAGCTTCGGATCACATATGCAGCCGAGGAAGTATAGAATTCGTTTGATACACACAGATTTTCAGACGTAGATAAATGTAGCATTTCTACATCGAAGAAGTTTTCCTCGTCAACGATGCTCGTCACTTCAGCATAGAGGCATCTGCCCCCCGGCTAATAAGTCTATCCAATGCCTCTAACTTATCAATTTATTATTTAAGTGATTATCAGAAAAACGTCGTTAGAGCAGTGTAAATTATATTTGAATAGTTATAATAAGACCCCCTCCCACATTAAAAGTCACATAGAGTCCTTGAATTTCCTCTAGGCATCTCCAACCCAGCCGGCCGCGGGGGCATTGAAAGGACGTGCCATATACGCCTTTGAAGATTGGAACTTCTTGATTTTCGGTATGTCCTAAAATCAAAGCAAACATTTATTGAGATTTTAGAAAGGTGTTTTTTTTTAAATTTACACATGTTCCTAGTTGACTATTTCACTTGAAACACATCCGCGAACAACAGCTTAAAGAGGTAGCAGGAACTAACCCGAAATCAACTGATAAAACCAAGCAAGTGTGTTTACGAAATACCTACAAAGCTCATGTTCCCCTAGAAAACATATGACTATACTACTACTAATAAGTCACACTTGATAAGTGCTGTCTACTTGGTGATCTGTTGTGCTGTTCCCACAGGAATGCGCCACATAAGCATTTGATGCGTGTGCCTCATAGAGAAGGTCCCTGTTAAGAGTAAGTAGTATCTTTTTACCAGCCCTTAAGTCGTGCAAAAAAGAGCCTCGATACAGATCGACCAAGGCTATTCACGGACATCTGCCACTGTTATTGGTGCAATGTACCTCGGAGCGCAGTCGAAAACATTACAACTCGCTGTGCGGCAAATGGTTTGGATTTCCTACCGATCTTTTTTTTTTGGTAAGGTAAAGGGAGGCACACATTAGAGCCAGACCACGAAGTATTTCAGGAAAGCGCGAAAATTAAAACATATTCTGACACATAATTGGTGGGGCCTACTATATTTCACCGAAATGACGGACATTTGATATGCGCCGTCAACCACAATCCGTTTTTTCGACATTAAATTTAAAGGCGCATTACGAGAGAAATACCTCAAATCGTTTCAGATAGTCCTTTAGATTGGAGAATTTATCCAGGCAGGTGGGGTCCCATGTTCTCAGTGCATCCAAGAGGTCATACATGTTGAAATCCGGGTAGTTTATCTGCGCAAAGAGAAGTACGATAATACAATAAAGGACTGAAATAAGAGCATTCACTAGTCCACCTCGTGACAGGCCTTAGTATGAATGACAAAAGAGGTCAGCCCCTGCACTTCGCACAACAAACTCGTCAATAACAAGTTAAATTCACAGTCTTGTCTATTATAATTAAACACATAAGCCCTGTGACGGCTATTAGTGTGAGGAATGTGCTCTCGGTAGAGTTTCCGTTGAGACTTGTTATAAACGCTCTCAGTCAACAAATACAAAGAGGCAAGATACATTGAAAGGTATCGTACGAATCAAGCATTTTTGAAGCGGTCTAACAGCAACAAGGCAATGAGTCTTTGTGGAAGCAAAGCAAATTATACAGAAAATGGTATGAAGAACAAACTATGAGCATTTTGTTGCCCTGAAGGTGCATTGCACAGCCAAACTTCGGTAAATAACTAGCGATTTAATTAAAAAGAGCCTTGAAGGATTTGCAGGAGAAAAAATAGGAGTTGAAAAAATGGGCTCCAATCGGACGCGGTTACCTTGCAACCGTTAAGCCAGTTTTTCGTTCCCAGATGCTTGGACCATACTTGCAACGTTTCGGGCAGACTGTCCAGAAAACCTTGCTTGACCTTGTTCTATGAAAGCCAAAAAGGTTAAACAACTGCTCTCACAAGAAGTAAAATAATGTATGTCATTGAAGAAGATGAGGTAGATCTGATTTGATAACAGACTGCAAACTTACATAATCTGGGTTGTAAACAATCTGGAGATAGCTGCCTCTGAAGTCGGCAACTGCTGCTTGCAACATATGCACAAGTGCACGCTCCTTGGCACAAGAGGGAACTACAATATCAAATTATGTGTTTTCAAAGACCGGTTGCAAATTTCTTACGCTTAGAAAAACGCAAAATTAAACAACGTACTCAGTCTTAAGTGTGAATTAACAAAAACGATCCAGCGTACAAAGTCTAAATCCGAATACAACTGCGAATGACAGAACTGCTTTGGCTAGTGACGGCAGCTATCCCGACAGGATGGGCTTTACCCCAGGAGATCAGGCCAAACTATTATTGTTAGCAGTGGTGACAGCTGAGAGAGTCACTAACTTAATCATGGGTTTCAGATAATTCGGCGAGATATGTTAATTGTACTCGAATTAACAGGATATAAAAGCTTATTGTCTCGAATTATTACCAGCATACAGTGAGAAAAAAGTATCCGTTCGAGAAAGGAAAACGGTCACCAGATAGGAGGCAAGAGTGTTGCAAAGCAGTCTTATTTAACGCCCTGGATTATGATTAAAGATAAAACAATAAATTCAGCAAGAAAAATCACTTGAGCGACTCACGCATCCCATGTTTGTCCGCCAGGTATTCCAAAATAGCACTCGACTGCGTGAGTTTTAATCCGCCATCAATCAAGTATGGCAACTAACTCAATACATTACATGCCACGTAAACTTACATTAGGGAAGTCAAGGCCTTTATTGAATTTTACTTTAAGCCACGATTCACGGGAGAAGTCGGGAGCTAAAATAATCGAATAAGAAAGCAAAACAGATTACCGCCGCCGAATTCATACAGCTCCTCGACATACTCTTCACCGAGATAGTGAAAGAGGAGACGGACGGATTGTCCTAACTGAAAAAAACAAACAAATGTGCTTAGTCAGTTACTGGTTTAAATTAATTAACACTATGTTCCAATCAGAAGGAAGTAATAATTCAATCGTTTGTACAGAATATCCTACTGCCCTTAATAAGTACACACCGCGGGATTAATCCACGGTGTAAAATCACAATAATATCACCTAGGGTTTTTATGGTCGCGAAGGCTTGACTGGTTTGGACTGGTTCTTCACTCTGCTAAGTAAATTTCTGATGCTTAATACAAGAAAGTGATGGTCGGAGATGGTTGACATCACGAGCCGACTGAAATTATGATTGGCGGGCACAAACGGAATTTTTTTATCGTTATCATTTTTGCACACCGAGAAGGCAGACTATAGTCTTGTTATTATTCCAAATGAAATCTTACTGTTTAGTGTTTGATCTAAGTCCCTCCTTCCATGGAGGGAGTAAACATAAGTAACAAAAAATAGCATACCAAGTTATATAACTTGCTAACTTGCTTGTATAGATATGCGTATATAAGTGTTAATTAGATCTTTAACTATATATATAGTAGCATTTCGCTAGCGTGATGCGCTTCAGCAGTAGGCGTAAAAGGTGAACATATTAGTGGTTCAGATATCTTTGGCAAAAAACCTCGAGACCTCACAAATAAGTTAGTTCATTAAGCAAAACAGTTTGAGTGGTTAAATGTAAACCCCATCCATTTTAAATAATATATTATTCAAAATGGATGGGTTTTATATCTAACGTATGTATACGTACGAATTTTATATTGACAAAGGTTACTAGAGCTCGAGCTCTGTGATTACAGATAAGAAAAGCAAACATTTGAAGAAAATATGTTTTTCAACACTACCCCACGAATGTTCCAATAACCCAGAACTGGAGGTTGCTGCATGTTCCGTAGACGACGTGATTGATCGGTGAACTGCGATATCAAGATTACGCCCGTTTAAATACATGCGGTTGAGTATAATCTGACCCTGTCCTTGTTTTAATCAAGTGATGATTATCGAGATAGGAATTGGGACGCCAAGCACTGCGTTTGTTAGCGGAAATAATGCAGTGGTAGCCCCCGGAGCCTGTACGAAATTTTAAATTAACTAATGGTCCTCAGTAGCACACTGGACCATGCTTACTGTTCGCGTATGCTAACAATGAATTTAAGTCAGTCTCTTACGTGCACACGGCCAATGCATTTGGCAACAGGTTATCATAGATACTAGGAATTTAAGTGCAGCAGAGTCTAGGTTCCAGGAGAAAATTTCGCGAAAGCGGGAATTTTTCGTAATTGTCTGAAGGAATATGGTATTGGAATGCCATAAAATGTGTACAGCAACAATCGTTTCGTGTTAGCATGTTAAGAAATTTGTGAACTTAATTTTCGCCAGAGTCCGTAATACGATTGCCATTCACCACGTGCACCAGGTTGTTAGTGTAGGGTCTGAAACTTCTGCGTAAATTAATCCATAAAGCGACAAACTTTCGCAGAATCCCTTGCACCCATTGTCTCTCACACACAAACACAATCGTAATGATAAAATTATATTCAAGAATACTGGCGTGAACGCATTTCCTGACACAGATAAGTAGCCCTTCTACGCTTGTCATAGGCAACGTACTCCCTGGTCTGTATATGCCAGACTACTGTAAGTGCGGCTGGCGCCGTAGGTGCGTGATAATTCTACTGAGAAATGGCCATTGTAATCTGGTTCTCTGAATTACACACTCAACAATACACTCATAAAAAGAAGTTTATCCCTTCCATTTGCAGTTTTCCAAGCCACCTTTTTCTGGGCATCGTGATACATATAGCTGCGCCGATTTTATTGTTAAGACTATTTCCACCCAACCATACGAGTCAACTGACCAGTTTATAT